ACGTAACTTCGTGGCCCCTGGCTTTCAGCAGCTGGGTTAGGGCTGTCCCAATGAATCCCGTGCCGCCACCTGATGGGAGAACGAGCACAAACTGTTTCTGCTCCGGGTGGAGGCGGGCGGCCCCATTTGGTGCGGTTCCCTGACACCAGGCCTCTCCTCTCCGCCACCCTATGTAGCCCCGCGATGCAGAGGTGACACAGCTCACGGGCTTTCAGAGATTCAGCTTTGGGGGCTGGGGAACCAGGGCTCGGTTGCTGGCTGAGAAGACCGCGCCCGGTGCGGCTGGGGGCCGACCTCCGCCCAAGCCCGCCCCCCTACTCTCAGCCCTCCCTCACCCACGAGCACCCGCATAGCGACAGGACAGCAACGCGCCTGCGCGAGGTTTAAATACCGGACGGACCGACTGCGCGCCTCAGCTCAGGACTAGGTGCACCCTCCCCACCCCCACCCCCGACCCGGAAGGAGTTGCAGCAATAGCGAAAGAGGTTGGTGACGCAAAAGAGATTGGAGGACCAAGTGCAGAGAGGACCCGCTCCTGAAGAAACCCACACATATCCAGACTGCGAAGTGCTGGCTGCTTGTTCAGTTTTGGGGCGGCAGCACCGTGGGATTCTTCTTACTGGTTTTTTTTGTTTCCTCCCGAGTATCACAAAAGTTTATTTAGCAAGAAGTTTCATATGCAAATATATATGACCCAGTTCCACACCCCAGTCAGACTGCCCTTTGGGGAGGGATGTGGACTTGTCTGCTGAACAGCCTTGTTTAGACTCTTTCCAAGGCTTCTAACACGATGCTGTTTTCTCGTATGACCACCACGCCCATGCTGTTCTGTTGTTACCATCGCCACACATTCAACAATCACAAGATTCCCAAAGGCTTCCTTGTACATGTCTGTCTGCCACCGTTTAACCTCAAGGATAATTTCTTGTCTGTAAATTATTTCAGTTCAGGAGAGTGGGCCTTGCTCATGGAGTAAGGGGGCTCGCACAATGCAGAGGAACGGCCGCCTCCCTTACTCGTTTTTCTTGACCCTTGTTCACTGATCTGCCTCTTCCTGGCCGCACCCAAGTCCCCTCTCGATGTGCGCACTCTTATCCATGCTTTCGCAGCTAAGGTTCTCACCACCCTGTGTTCCACCTCCTGTTCCACCTCCTGCTTCCCAGTTCACTCCATTTCCTTGCTCTCTGGAGCACGTACTGTCCATGTTTCACCAAATCTAAAGCCCAGTTTTAGATAACTTTGATTGGTTGCCCAGCCAGAATCACTGCCCGTGTTCCCTCTCTTCCTTTTGGAAATGTTGCATTTTGGGCCTCAGTGGAAGCCATACTGTCTTCTGAGACTTTCAGAACCAATTCTGCCTTCTGTTGATGCCTCCACTTCCTTTAAATTCTTAAGCTGTAGCTAATTGTTCCTAGTTGGATCTTAGGACCCTCTTTTTGCCCTCTATTCTTCCTTGTCCCTTTCCTTTTCCGTCTTTGTGTTTGTGCTGCTAGAGAGTATGTGAGAGGAAATAGTCGTCCTATCACCCTCCAGTGAGACAAGCTCTCACTCAACCTGGAGTTCACAATTGGCTAAACTGGTCAGTGAGCCCCAGTGAGCTCCTGCTGTGTGAGATTAACAGCGGGATTAACAGCGCTGCTTACAACTGGTTCTATGTATCAGGCTTTTGTTTTTTTTAAGATTTTATTTATTATGTATTCAACATTCTGCTTCCATGTATATCTGCACACCAGAAGAGGGCCCCAGATCTCATAACAGATGGTTGTGAGCCCCCATGTGGTTGCTGGAAATTGAACTCAGGACCTCTGGAAGAGCAGTCAATGCTCTTAACCTCTGGGCCATCTCTCTAGCCCCACATCAGGCTTTTCACAAAGGTAGTTGACAGTCAGAATTCAGGACCTCCTGATGCCTGGGCAGCAGTCTACACACGGGGTCCCTGTTTCCATCCACAGTAATCATGGCTGCCCCCAACCCACAACCCTTGTTCATTACCATCTGTGTTGGGAATTCAGTCACTAATTCTTCATAGAGCTCCCACATGTATGCAATTCAGAGCTCTTCTTTGAGTTCCTGACTGACATAAAAACCTCTCTAGAACACACATTTAAAAAAGAAAGGTATGTGTTCAGTAGTTTTGCCTGCATGAATGTCTCTGTACCACGTGGGTGCCTGGTGCCCTTCGAGGCCAGAAGAAATTATGGGATTCCCTGGAACTAGAGTTCAGACCGTTGTGAGCTGCTGTCCGAATGCTGGCACCCATCCCAGGTCCTCTGGAAGAGTGTCAAGTGTTCTTCACCACTGAACCATCTCTCTAGCACTTCTACATCTCTGGTTGCCTGAAATGCAGGTGGTTTTAGGTACTAAATATCTCTCAGATCTATTTTTTGTCTGCCAACTACAGCCCTTATTCCAGTTATTTTGTCTAAATTCCTGAACACTTTCCTTAAAAGGTTTCCTGACTGAGTTTTCTTCTCCATCTTCATATTGAAAGCTGAATGATCATTGAATAACTTGTGACAAGACAATTATGTTGTGTGCAATATGTTCTAAGGACACCATTGCCAACTTATTTAGAAAACTAAAGGGAATCTCTAGAGACACAAAGTATCACTCAGCCTGAGCCCTTGCTAAAGATGCATTGCTTGACCAAACTTGAGTCAGGCTTTTGAGTCTTTTTTTAGGTTCATCTGTGTATTTCCTTATGAAATCCCATCTTATCACATCTTCCTGCTAAATCCATTTAGCAATAACCCCCGTTTTGGTAATCTGGCTATCCATATTCAACCTGGTTTTTCATCCTTTGCCACCCTTCAGGCGATGTCTGACGCGTCTTGATTGGTGTGTATAGATAAGCTTCTTTTCTCATTGCTGTTACCAAGTACCCTGCCCAAGCAACCGAAGAGAGGAAGTGGTTCTTTTGGCTCATGGTTTGAGGGTACAATCCATCAACGTATGGAAGGGACGGCGGCTGGAGATGGAGGTGTCTCATGGGGAGGCAAAGGGAGATGAATGCTCAGTTCATTTTTTCCTTTTGCTTAGTCTGGAATTCCAGTCTATGGGACAGTACAGTCAGGTGACTCTTCCCCTTTCAGTTAAACTTCTCAGGAAATGCCCTCACAGACACACCTAAACATGTGTCTCCTAGGCGATTTCCAATCTAGACAGGTTGACAATGAGGATTAACCATCATATCTGTCTTCAGTAAAACCTGTTAGGTTGGCTTAGCCAGAATTCCACATACCCTGGTACTTCCTCACAGATGTCATATTAAAAGGAAAGGAAGTTGCAGAAGCATTCACACTATAATTCCATTTAAATATTAAAAGGAAGCAAAACTATGGTATTTTAAATAAATAGACTTGTAAAAGTAAAAATAAATGCATGAGAATAATGCAAAACTCAGGGTAGCATTTTCTTGTGAAGGTAGTGGAAGAGTACTGTGGTAGTTTGAATGTAACTGGCTCCCATAATCTTACAGGGAGTGGCACTATTAGGAGGTGTGGATTTGTTGGAGTGGGTATGGCCTTGCTGGAGCAAGTGTGTTATTATGAAGGGTGGGGCCTGAGGTTTCCTATGCTCAGAATACGGCCAGTAAGTCAGTTAACTTCCTGTTGCCTGCAAGATGTGGCATTCTCAGCTCTAGCGCCGTGTTTACCTGCATGCCCCCATTCCCCCCACCATGATGATAATGGGCTGAACCTCTGAAACTGTAAGCAAGTCATCTGAATTAAATGTTTTACTCATAGGAGTTGCCATGGTCATGGTGTCTCTTCACAGCAATAGAAACCCTAACCAAGACAAGTACCCAGGGGACTCATTTCTTACATCAAGTGATGGGTTCAGGCTATACATTTTATTAATCTTTGTATTGTCTGAAATATTTTATAGCAGAACTACATGGATTCAAAATTTATAGTCATATTTCAGATGTGCAAAAATATAACTTTGCATAACTTTTCTTTTTTTGGAGTTGGGGGGGCAAGGTCTCATTTTGTATCGCAGTCTGGCTTCAGACTCACAGCAATCCTCCTGCTTCAGCCTCCCATGTTCTGGAATCCAGGCTTAACCACCATGTGCAGCTTGTAAGTTTACTTTTTGTAATTAATTAACTCATGAGCATCTCTCATGGAACAAATTTAAAGTGACTAGACAAAGGGAGCTGTAATCACCAAGTTAGAATTTTCTTTTATTTTCTTTCCTTTTTTGGGGGGTGGGGTGGGGTTGGTAAATTCTTAGTCTTACAGAATGCATTGTCCCTTTCATTGCCTCTCACAGCTACATGGGTGTGTCGGGTCATTTGCTTAGGCGTTTAGTCACCAGTGCCTTCTCAGAGGGATCTTGTTTCATTTTTGTTTAAATATTTCCTGATGAGGTCAGCTAAAGCACAGCTGGTCAAGCCAGGTTTAGGGGTACAGCGATTTGCCTCTGCATTGAACATCCTGGCAAGTGTTCAACTTGAGTTCTATTTCCAGAATCGTTTTACTTTTTGTTTTGTTTTGAGACATGGTCTCATTAAGTTGGCTAGACTACTAACCTTGAACTTACTCTAGCCCAGGGTAGTTTTCAGTAACCACCACCACTTTAAAATTTTTATTTTCATTTCATGTGTATGAGTGCTTTATATGTACTATGTAACTGCCAGGTGCCTTTGAAAGCTGGAAGAGGGCATAGGATCTCCTGGGACTGGAGTTACAGAAGGTGTGAGTCATCACATGGCTGGTGTTTCGAATTGAACCCAGGTCGTCTTCAAGAGAAGTCAGTGTTCTTAATCACCCACTGAGACACCTCTCCAGCCCTTAGCCTTGATCTTATTAGAGATTTATTTATTTTATGTATGAGTGCTCTATCTGTATGTATGACTTTATGCCAGAAGTGACTTTATCCCAACTACAGATGGTTGTGAGCCACCATGCGGTTGATGGGAATTGAATTCAGGACCTCAAGAAGAACAACCAGTGCTCTTAACCACTGAGCTGTCTCTCCAGCCCCTAGCCTTGATTGTAATCCTCCTGCTTCAGCCTCCCAAATAGCTGTGATTGTAACCTGTGGTATGCACCACCAGGTCTGTCTCCCCAGCACCTTTATTTGAAGTAGGATGTTACTATGTATCCCAGATTGGAATACATAAAATCCTCTTGCCTCCATCTTCAGGGCCTCTGTTTTGTATATCCATAATTCTTGTTTTGCTGTTGGTGTTTGGAATCATCCCCTTCAGGTGATGAAATACTTGCCTTCTGGCCAACCAAACGGAATCTGTGGACCTTGATGGATCATTCCTTAGGCTCATCTCCTGGCTTGTCCTATAGTCACTACTATCAGGCAGTCTGCTCTGGCCTAGCAATTAATTAGCT